GTGCTCAAACTATAAGCTCAAAAACAATAACTGATGCGGCGTTTCCAAGATATTTTAACGCCCTTGAGTCACAAGTATATACAAGTATATTTTATCAATCATACCGATAATTTCATGTATTAAAATAATTAAAAATGAAAATGAACAAAAAAATTAAGTCAGAAAAATGAGTAAAATTAAGTGAAATTAATGTTTAATTTCTAACCTAACCTACATTTTATGTATTTAACTGAATCGCTTAATAATAGCTTTACATATAAAAAGAGTATCCTAATTTTCGAGCTTAACTCCCTAATCTGTTATTAGAAAAAGAGATTAGCCATGCTAAATTATAATTAAAAATATCTCAGATTAAACCGAGAACTTTTTGGTGTCCAACTTAGTTTTATCGATTATACTTGCGAAGAAGAGGAGGAACGTCAAATATTAAAGTAAACAAAAATTGACGGTAGTAAGGAAAATAGGTTTGTAAAGGTATTTTTAATAAAATATTCAGTTATAAATATATTTAAATGGCCTAATAAGGGACCACGGTGGCACAGAGAAGCAGTTTAACTTTTCCTCGAGTTGTGTGAATAACAAGCACAACCAATTTGACAGCTACCGAGCTTTGATTGAGATTATATTTATATGTAAACGTACTTTTATGCTTTGCCGTTCGCATATGTATACACATCAAATTTCATGAGTATTATTTTTTATGAACTATATTTTATTTATATACCAAAATATTCTTAAAAACAAGAACTCAGGCGTTTTAAATTATTTTCTGGTACTTACATTCATAATTTTGCTTTGAATAAAAATGTGCTGAAAAGTACTGATTTTTTTTAGCATGAAAAAGTCGAATGCACTGATTTCGCGCATAAAAAATCTGGCAACCCTATTCAAACTCAAAATTTAAATGCATGTCTGGCTGTAGCAGAGTGCGCAGAGATGCTTGCCACAATTTGCTAATTTCCAGAGGGTCAGGGTTCAATTCCGATTACAACCAGCATGGAATTTAAATATTTTTTTAACTTAATTATGAAAAAGCAATCGGTAATTGCAAATCGCTTCATTTTAATATGTCCGTATTTGAATTGAATATTTCTATACTAAATACTAAAATTTGTATTCTTAAATGTATTACGAGTTGGGTTGGTGCTCTTTCATATGCGTATTTAATTTAATTTAGCACGCTTTTTTAATTCTAAACTTCTTTTTCTCAGTGCACCGGTTTAATTTGTGAAATAGTTACATTTCGAGATAGTTGAACTTTGCACAAGCTATAGTTAATGATTAGTATATGTACCTAAATACGTTCAAAATGACGTGCACAGAGTTTTATAAGGAAAAGAAAGAGGTTTTGAAACAAGTTCACAGCAACGGAAAATATGACTGATATTTTAATGTTATCTTGGACTTAAATTTTTTTCTTTCATGAAACCTAGAGTACTTATAAGTACAGTGCCGTACAAAATTATTGGCTCGGCGGCTCTTTCATCAGATCACAATTTCTAATCAGATATTTTAGAAAAATTTTGAAAATGTAGCTTTTGAGCCAATTAATAAAGTGCAAGTCTGAAGTTGCCAGCAAATTTCGTTGATTTTTAGCATTTATTTTTTTTTGCTGACAGTGTCTGCCATATAAAAAGAATTATCGAACATAGTTTGTATGGAAGAAACTCTCGGTAAAAACAATACCAAAAATCAACTAAAATTTAATGGGCTGGAAAATTTCATTTTAAAAACTTTTATAAAAAGTCTGATTAGAATGTTGCAAATTTGTATGCAAATTTATTGAATTTTCCCGAGTTTATCACAAAGTTTAAAAATTTTGTTGCGCCAGATGTTCTATTTTTCTTCGGTTTCCTAATTAAAAATGATTTATATAAACATAAATATATTGCGAAATTGAATTTATTAAACTTACCTCATTTACCAATTAAACCTATTGTCTAACATACTTACCACTTACATATATACTTACCCTATTTACATTCAACTACCTGTTTACTCTATACTTACCTTATTTACATATTTATACATACATACTTACATTTTTATCGTACATAATCTCATAAAGCCGTTGAATTCTCATACTTCTTATGTACATATTAACAACTATTCTAAGCCGTTAGTTTAAATCGTAGGTCAAGTAAGATGAAGTTGAAAATAAATAAATCACATGTAAAGTAGAACCGAAAGCGCGCAGACCAATTATTCGTGAAACGGAAAGTTAGGAAAGGCGTTGTTGTTGCTCCTTGTGCACTCCCCCAATAGAGAAGTTATACCATAGAGTACATATGTACGTACAAACATAGTGAAACCGTGTTCGCAATAAACTGGTACATCCTTAAAAAGTCTTAAGGATTTTCAAATTTAATTATTATGTTTTTCATATACTTAGTATAAACTGTTATAAAGAATAAAAAAAGGTTCATGCATTGTGAAAAATTCTCTGTGCTTTAGTTGTGATGAGTTGTTTTGTTTTCTTGGCGGACGTTGTAATGATCTCATGATCTCATATTTTTATGTTTTTGTTTTTGTCTGACAAAAGCAAATTGCACTACATCCTCTCGCATGTCGAAATGAAAGGGAAGGGTGCGAGAGGCCCTCCTTATAGTGTCCCGGTTTGGTAACAGAGATATCTGGCAGCCCTAGTATCTAGGTAAAGAATCGATTTTTTACTCCAGTATTCGTTAAAGGCATCGATATCAAAAATACTCGATAAGAAATAAAAAGTATCGATAGTATCGTACCTGCCGACGATCTCTTTCCTCATTTACACACGGCGATTTTTGTTGCCGTAACTCGACGTTTGTAGGAGAGAGCGTGACGAGGAAAGGAGAGGGGCACCGAATTGCTCGTGCTCGGGCAACACACTTTGTGCTATCGTTCGTCTGTGTAAATTGAGTTAGCGGTTCACAGCTGACAACAACAATTGCATACACAAAAATCGTCGTGTAAATGATGATGAGCGTTTATACACGGAAACTTTTGTCGACGCGATTTTTCACATTCCCTTTTGGTGTTGCTCATTTCATTTACACACGGCGATTTTTGTTGCCGTAACTCGACGTTTGTTGGAGAGAGCG